GGACGGAAGGCTGAGTCAACCTGGAGACAATCAGAATCGAACTCCTGGCAGTGGTCAAAATTTGCCTGCAATATTGCATTCCAACCGCTGTGACACCACAGCCCTTCCTTCCTTCCTTCCTTCCTTCCTTCCTTCCTTCCTTCCTTCCTTCCTTCCTTCCTTCCTAACCTTAACCCTCCCCCCCCCAGCATTAGCCTGAGTTCCCCCAGCATAAGCAGCGCTAGCGGAAAGCTAAGACTCGCAATGAAAGAGAACCGGATGGGTACGTTCTCCTTGTCTGGGCCACGTGCCCCTCCTCCTTCCCTCCCTGGGGAGCTCTGGATATCTTCATAAGGGGAGTGACCGGGGGTTCACCTGTCGTGACCTTAATTTGGGGTCTGTGCTGATAAAAACAATTTCAAGAAATAATTACTAAAATACTAAACAATAATTAAATAATAAATAAGTAGTGAGTGAGTGAGTGAATGAATGAAGGAAGGAAGGAATGAATGAATATGCCACAGCCTGGAAAATTCATGCTCCCTAATCTTCAGTAATGACAATACCTCTTGTAAGGCTCTTTAATTATATTATGATTAAAAATATGTTACTATACAATACTGTTACTTTTTGTTTTGTTTTATTTTAAGACACCTAACATTGTAGGAGGCCCACAGGCCCACGTCTTCACGGGAGAGTGTAGGTCCAACCCCTACTTCGCATCTGCAATGACCTGACTTGATTTTCATCTTTTAAAGACGAACAATCACACTTCTAAACTGAAATTTGCATCGTCGTTTTTCTTCAGTGCCATTTGGGTTTGATCTCTTCTTGGGTCTCAATCGGACCGTTTTTCTGTTGCTTTCAATCCAAAGGGATGAAGAATTGCCCTTTTTTGTTCGACCCCCTTCATAATGAACAGGTAGTCCTCGACTTACAACATTGCATTTAGCGACCCTTCCAAACTATGAGCGAGGCAAAGGGAGGTACTTCCGTGCTAATCCCCGGGATGCTTCCAAGCCCCTCCCCCTCCAAGCCTTACCTGTGCAGAGGAAGCCGGGCAGCCCTCCGTAGACCAATTCATCGTTGTCAGGCAACACAAAGGGGCACCTCGTCTCCACCTCCAGGCAGTATTGCTTGCATGGAATCCGGTGCTGGCACTGTAGTTGGGTCACATCAAAATACTCAGAGCACAGCCAAGCCTTGTAGACGGCCTACGTGAAAGGAACAAGAGTCCAGAGGCAATAATACAGTAGCAAAAGCGACACCCCACCCCCCACAAACCCCCAAGAATCTGAATGGTGTCTGCTGGGATGTATGGATAGTCCTTGACTTACAATGGTGAAATTAGAGGCCGTTCAAAATGGCAACGGCACTGAAAAAAGTGGCTTAAGACCGTTTTTCACACCTACAACCATTGCAAGCATCCCTGTGGTCACGTGATCAAGAGTCCACAAGTCTTAAAGTTGCCAAGTTTGGAGACCTCTGGTTTACTTCCTTATATTGTCCCACATTGCAGTTGTCTAGTACATGCCACCTACTGGTCTCCTGACCCAGGTAGAGACCAGCTTCCAAGAGAAAGCAAATTATATTAACATACTAATGGACTAGTGCAGGGACTCAAGGAAAACACATTACACTCCCCCCGCCCCCACTGCCGCTGGAAAAGTTAGGGACCCCTAGTTTAAACCACTCCTAGCTTTTTAGCCAGAAGTCGATCAAAAAAAACATGGCTGGGTGATTTGCAACATCCAGGAAAGGGCAGACAATGTCATGCCCCTGTTGGAATCTGATTCCAAGGGGGAGGCCGAGCAGCTGACAGGGAGTGGGAGTGTGGCTCCATTGGCTGTGGAAGAAACTGGGGAAGGGCAAAGTCTGGTTGGGCAGAGCAGGAAAGAGGTAGAACAAGGGAGAGGGAATTCAGAGGAAGACCCAGGCCCACCCCCCTCTTCATCCTAGGGCACGCAGGGCGGAACGGAGAAGGGAGCAACTTGAGTTGCGTGGCTTATGGGGGAGGAAAGGGCCCTGATTAGCTGCAGCTGGGAACACAGTGTTTAAAAAGGGAGATTGCGCACAGCAACTTGTTGGAAGCAAATCGTGAGTTATCTAGTATTGTCCAGGCTTATCTGGGTCCCTGGTGTCTTCCCAACTGTGTGTGTTTTGCTGGCCTTTCAAGTCTGCAATTCCTTTTCCTGCCCTGTCAAGTTAATTGCTGCAGCGTGGTTTGTTTGGATTTTTAGTTGCAGTTTGTATGTATTTTGTTTTCAGACTGAATTTCCTCCACTTAAAGACTGTTCTTGGGAGAGTTTTTTTTCTCCATCTGAAGGTAACTGGACATTGGGGGCAAAATTGGAAGTACTAAAGGGACTTTTCTTACTTATGTGACTGTGTTGCCTTTGTGCCACGCCCCTTTGGGTCATCACAGACAGCTACAAATTGGCTGCATTCACATTACTCCACCCACACCTCCTGACGCACAGACACCAATCCCTGGCTGAAGATTTGAAAATACCGCTAAAATACTAACTGCTTTTCCAGATTGTGTATCCTGCTCCAAGACACAAAAATGAAACATCTGGAAGAAAACATGCAAGCTCAGAGAGCACCAAGGACCCCTGAGACAAAATTTACCAAATGCTGGATTGGTCATAAAATGGGGCAAAATTCACTTAACAAATGTCTTACTTAGCAACATAAAAGATCGAGCACTACCTGCATAGGGTAGGAGGAAAGATCAAAAAAGAGAAGAGAAAAAGGCAGCTTTTGTTTTTGTAAAGCACAAACATCCACAGTCAGCCAGATTGTTTCCTCCCAAACAAAAACCTTTCTCAGTTTTCTGAGATTCACAGAAACTATGATTGAAGACGAAAATGTGCCCACAAATCAGGTTCCTGAGCCATCAGTGTAATAGCTCTATATCCCCTTTGGGCCTTTTCCCCACTAGAAATTTTATATTTATGATCTAATACGTTTTGCAGACTAATAAAAATTCTTCCTATGGGATCAGTTCCATTGCTTTGGTAAATTTTGTCTCGGGGGGTTTGCTTGTCAGAAGGTTGCAAAAGGGGACACAGCCACAGTCGTAAGTATGAGTCAGTTGCCCAGCATCTGAATTTTTATCACGTCGTTATGGGGATGCTACGAAGGTTGTAAGTGTGAAAAATGGTCATAAGTCACTTTGTTCAATACCGTTGTAACTTAGAACGATCACTAGACAAACTGTTGTAAGTTGAGGACCACCTGTACTCTGCTGAATGAATTGTAAAGGAAATGTAATTGGAGCCAATTGAGTAGACGAGTAGACAAGTAGTATGCCCTGGTAAGAAACATTCAAATGTGTGTGTATATTAAATGTACTTTATGTTAAATATAAATGACTAAATCATGTATGCTAATGTATATTGACTACCTAATGAATACGTATATGGAAATGATATATAAACCTATATTTCTTTGTCTAGGATAACTTTTGCATTAGGGAAACTGCCCAATGATCATTAAAAAATTTTAAAAAATAGTATCTTTTGGTTACAGTCCAGAATAAAATAACAAAAAAATTACCCTGATTTCAATACTTTCACTGTAACCCATAAGTAATAAAAAAGATAACTAGAAGTTAGAATTACTAACATGATGCTATAAAATGACAACCCTAAAATATCTTCATAAAAGCCCTTAATATTAATACTAAAACTAAAGACTAAGAGAAGGCTTCAAAGGGCAAAAAAATACGTAAAAACAAATAAAGGTTAGAAAAATAAAAATGTAATTTTGAAGAATATGAAAGTGAAGCTGTAAGGATGAAAGTAGAAAGAGAAGCAAAAGAGATCTGGTATAATTTATTGATAGACAGTTAAAGACATTTTTTGAGAGTATTAAAGAGTGATTAAGAGGTTTTTAAGATGGCTTCCTGGGATTAGTTGGGAGGGTTGCTACTACGCCAGGCTCCCGGCCCGAGTTTCTGGAGGCCATCGGTGTGGATGTTGAAGTTCCCCAGGCGCTAGGAGACTGGGGTTGGCCTCAGAAGAGACTCGGGAGTTTATGGCCGCCGGGGACCTCTCCCAGATCATCCATGGGCCCATGCCAGGTATGATTTTCTTGTCAGAGCAATGACAACGTGATCTAGTGAGGGATCTATTCTTAACCAGGGGTGGGATTCTACCAGTTCGGACCTATTTTTCTTTCTTTTTAGCTAAGATTTAATTTTTTCTTTTCAACCTTTATCCATCTATTATTCTTTAATACGTTTATATTAAATAATATAAATTTAATACATAGATCTAGATGGCAACCTCACTTGCATTTAAGATCTACTTCAACATTTAGCCGCAGGAGGGACAAAGAGGAGAACTAAAAGTTCCTAGGACTGAGGAGAAACTTCCAAACAGTGAGGACAATTAACCAACGGAACAGAAGTTGCCTTCAGAAGTTGTGGGGGCTCCATCACTGGAGGATTTGAAGGAGAGGTTGGACAAGCACTTGTCTAAAATGTAAAAGGTCTCCTGCTGGACTAGAAGATCTCCAAGGTTCCTTCCAACTGTGATTCTATTATTCTGTCTCAGTTCATTCTGAGCCTTAGCTTTCACGACTGCATCCTTGCAGATTCAGGGTTTTGGCCAATATTCTGATTTAGTTATGTGTCTCGCTTTCCATTTTTCAAAAATACTTATTTTTGTCTCTCAGTTTGTCAGAGAGTTCTTTATGCAACCGTGCTGGTTTCATCAGGGGTTTCTTTCCCTGTGGCCTTTTATAATCTTACTTTTTCAATTTTCCCAAGCATTTTGATTTCTTTCCCCTTTAAGATTTCTATCCATGAAATCCTTCCTAAGTTCTCTCTCTAAGATGTGGAAATCAGCTCTATTAGAGTCTAAGATGTTCTTTTAACTTTATTTAATTATGTGCCTACATTAGGTTGAGTTCCAATATGACACGGTCACTCTCTCCTAAAGTTCCCGCAACCTCAACCTCTTCTTTCATCTCTCTTGGTAAGGATTAAGTCCAGTATAGCTGACCCTCTCTCTGGTTCCCTCTTCTACTTTTCGGATGACAAAGTGGTCCGGTAGGTTCATCAGGAACCTGATCTCCCACTTGATGCAGGGTAATTAAACTCCTCCATTACTACTATAGTAATGGTGGTAGACTTTAGAAGAAACCCTCCCATACTACCACCTCTTACAATACTAGACAACACAGTATCAACAGTACAGACTTTCAAATTTCTAGGTTCCATTATATCACATGACCTAAAATGGACACCTAGCATCAAAAACGTCATCAAAAAAGCACAACAAAGAAGGTTCTTCCTGCGCCAACTCAGGAAGCTCAAACTGCCCAAGGAGCTGCTGATCCAGTTCTACAGAGGAATTATTGAGTCTATCATCTGCACCTCTATGACTGTCTGGTTTGGCTCTGCAACCCAACAGGACAGACACAGACTCCAGAGGGTAATTCGGACTGCAGAAAAAACAAATACTACCCACCTGCCTTCAGTTGTGGACCTGTATACTGCACGAGTCAAAAAGAGGGCTGTGAAAATATTTACAGAGCCCTCACATCCTGGACAAAAACTGTTTCAACTCCTTCCCTCAAAGTGACACTATAGAGCCCTGCACACCAGAACAACTAGACACAAGGAGAGTTTTTTCCCCAAATGCCATCACTCCACTAAACAAATAATTCCCTCAACCCTGTTCAACTATTACAAAGTCTGCATTACTATTACTGTTAATCTTGTCATCACTCCTTATCACCCATCCCCTCCCACTTGTGCTTGTAGGACTGTAACTTTGTCACTTGTATCCTAACGATTTTTATTGACTGTTTCCTTGTATGATTTGATTGCTTATTGTACCCTATGACTATTATTAAGTGTTGCACCTGATGATTCTTGACTCTTGAGACAAATGTATCTTTTATGTACACTGAGAGTGTTTGCACCAAAGACAAATTCCTTGTGTGTCCAACCACACTTGGCCAATAAAGAATTCTATTCTATTCTATTCTATTCTATTCTATTCTATTCTATTCTATTCTATTCTATTCTATTCTATCCTATTCTATTCTATTCTATTCTATTCTATAGCAGGCTTCCTGGATATCTTAGCTAACTAATTAGCAAAAAGTTCATCTATTTCATCTGTTTGGTTGGGTGGTCTCTACTGTATGCCTCTGACAGTATAAAGAAAAAGCCACAAAAACGTTATCCTTGATTTTG